ATACAATTTCAAAATTAAAAAAACTTTATATATGACAATTTATTTCTTGATTACAAATTATCAAATTAATTGATCACGTATTTTTTTTTTTATATAAATCACAAATTTTATAGGTTACAATTTTTCATCGGTTACAATTTATCAAATTAAATGTCACATTTTATTCATTGGTCACAAATTATCAAATTAATATGTCACGTATTATTTTTCAATCACAAATTATAAATTTTATAAGTCTAATTAATGGTTACAAGGTATTTTTCGATTACAAATTATTAAATTAATTAGTCACAACTTAACAACTTGTGAGACACGATTACAAATTTAGTGAGATGTTACATTTTTTAGGTCACCTAATATTGATTGGTACAAAATTATCTATTTCATCAATCATATATTATTTATTAGTCATACATTAACCAATTTATTGATCACAATTAATCAAAATAATCAGTCACACTCACTCTTTCCACCCCTTTTGCCACCTTTATTGCTACCGCCGTCGTCGCCGCCACCACCAACACTCCACTACCTTCGGTACCACCGACACTACCACAACCTCACCAACACCACAAACATCACAACCACTTCACCAGCACTGCCACTACCTCAAACAAAACCTACCCCAAAACCACTGTCGTAGCCTAAGCCATTGCCAGAGTCATTCCCATCTCTATCTCCACCATCACCTCATCCACCGCCCCTTCCACCATCATTCATGTATCCAGAGCCACTATCACTACCGCTGCCTAGCCAGAACAACTATCGGACCCATTGCCACCACCACCTTCGCCTCTTTCCTTTCATCTTTCTCTGCTTGACCCCATATCTCAAACCATAGCCTAAAATCAAAACCACAACCAACATCACCACCACATTCTCTTGTGACCACAACTACTACTCCCACCAAAAAATCACCAAATAGCTGCCCGCACACCACCACCTTTTCAAATCCATCATCTCCTTCACCTCTACCACATGAGGAAAAAATCGCACCAACCAGAGAAACAGATGTAGAAAAGAGAAAGGGAGAGAGAGAGAGGGAGGGATCACACCAACACAAGAAGTAGCGACGATAATTAGGTACAACACTGTCGCCTTGTGCAAGGAGGCCATTACTGCACTTGTCGTCGGTGTTGCGCTTGTCGTCATGTGCACGAGCACCATGAAGAGTCGTCGGAGGGGTGGGTGGAGTGGACGTGGAAAAAGTAGCAATCAAAAATATTTTTTAAAGATGAATTAGGATTTGTGGGGTGGGTGTGGGGACGGGTGTGTGGGGTAGATTAATTTAATTTTATAATATTAAAAATTTAAATTATTACCTGATTTTTAAATTGGGAATTTAAAAATCATGGCTAGGTGTGATTTCCACATTTATTAATTCATTGGGTTGTGTTGAATTTTAATTCATAACCCAAGACCCAATTCAACCAACCTCAAATTTGATTTTTCAACCCAACACAACCCAACCCAATTGAACTTAAAAACTAACCCAAACAAGTTGATTTGGGTTGGATTTATCAATTTGAGTTGATTTTTGCCCAACTCTACGTGACGATATCTAATACAAACTCATGATTAAAAATGGTACCCATCATATTATTAGAACAGTGACGCAGAACTGGAAGCCCCTCATGTACATAACATATTGGGAAAATGTGCTGTTTAACGTGACATTCGTAATATGTTTGTGTATAATAATTGATAATTTTTTATTTTTTGCTTGGCAACAATACATTTTGAAAATCGCGTGTGATTTTTTATCTATTAGCAATGCCTAAGCGACTTATTAGGTTGTGTCCAAATGATATTAACAAGAAGATAATTGAATAATCAGTCATTGTTTGAACCCCATTTTTCTCAAAGCTCATTTCTTCAAAATTCATTTTTAATCACACATTTTCTTATAAAATAATGTTACACGTAAAATAAAAAAAAACTCCTATTTTTTAACGCACATTATTTCAGAAAATCACTATTACAAAATACAATTTCCCAAACAATGGGGCCCAAACTCACATCCATCTTTTTACATTTACATTTCAATGCTCATTTTAGCAATGGATAGTGTTGGTGTCTTGTTGTGTTACGTAAAAATGGTTACTCGATGACTGGGCCAATCATACCGTCAAACTGGTAGAGATGGTTGGGAGTCAATTGCATGCCACTAGTTAAGGCCGTATTTTGTTTGTCACTTCCAAGGGTCCGTTTTGAAAAGTCAAAATGAACTTTTGAGACTCAGAGTGTGTTTGGGACACATT